CCCTACCCAGCTCCTGTAGAAGTTCTCAGTGACTCTGTCCCAGACACTCCCATCACTCCAAGTTGCACCCACCAGCAGCGGCCTGGTTTTCTCTCAGGCCCCTCCAGCCCCGATTTCCTCACTGCTCAGGTGCTCTCTTCTCCCCTTCCCAAGTGGCAGAAGGACATCAGAGAGAGGAGCGCGCTCGAGACTGGGACCGTCTCCACCGCCTGAATCTCTCAGACAAGTTCACCACGCCCTTGTCCTCATTTCACCTGTGTAAGGAGTAATTCCTGAGGCCTTTAGATGGTGATGGCCACGTTCACAGCCACCGAGCCGGGCGGGCCTCCCCTCGGCTCCTAATGCTTGGGTTTCTTATCTAAGTTCCTGGGGGGGAGGGTGGCATTCATTGTATTTATATCCCCGGAGCCTGGTACACAGGTGCTTAATAGATATCTGTTGGTGATTGATTTGTTGAACTGTCCAGTTCCTCAAACTAACTCAATTCGACAGAAATGCATAGCCACCTAGTACGTGCCAGGCCATCCCTGCACAAGGGTACAAAGGATTTTGGTTCTGAGGACAAAGGTTCAAATCTTCCATTAGCTGCTTACCCCCTGGAGGATGCAGGACAATCCCTTGACCTCCCTGGGCCTCAGTTTCCTCATTTATAAAAGAGGCTGTTGGGCTCAATGGCCTCCAACGTCCCTTCCAGCTCCGCACAGTGCCCAGCTGGCTCAGAGCTGGCCCAGCTGATGACATTCCTGGGCTGTGGGGATCGTGAGGAGTCACTGAGGGCAGCTTGCCTTCCCATGGGAGTCCTAGGGTGTTAGGCCGGGGTGGGGGTGGGGGACGGTGAAGGGAGGGGGCAGTGGCTTGGTTTCATTTAATTTATTTTATTTTGGGAAGCTGCGGCGGAACCTGGGCAACTTCTCTCTTGTTCCAGAGCTCAGAGACGCCCTGGCAAGTCTGCATCAGAAAGTTTCCCCTAAGCTTTCAAATGACTAAGTCGGGGGAGACTCAGCCCGGGGAATTTGTTGGACTTGTCTCGACGGTGCCAAACGCCCACTCGGGCAGGGGAAGGCTCCGCTGTCCCAGCCGCCGCAGCTCTTGGGCGTCCGAGCCCGATGTGCGCCCACAGCGAGCTCCCTCTGAAGGAGCAGCCTGGAGGGGCCCAG